GTTGGCTACAAAGAATCAGTTTACGGTTTATAAAACATCACCGCTATTAGTCACAACAGAGAGAGAAACTTAAACGGCAACACCAACTTAAAGCTGACTCTTAATATTAATATTTATTTTTATTTATTTAAATCTGGGAAATACCGATATTTCCCCAGAAGTGTTTTCACTGGTATCCTCCATGCAGAGCACAAGTCAGAAACTAGGTGGACATTCAAGACTGAGGAGAAAATATTTCAGATTGCATTAAAAAATACTAGACATTTAGCTCCTGCTGATGGGAGTTTTAATAGTTTAATTAAATTTTAATTATGAAAGAAAATACGCAGTTTTTAACATTAGTGTTTAACTCTGGTTTTATCATTTGACATTTGTAATATTTCACAGGCATTTATTTACTTTAGTACACAACAAATGGTTAAATCTAAAGTCAAAGTTTAGTTTTTCTGCCATCACTTCTGGATAGTTGACCTAAAGTAAATGTGGGTTTTGGAAATGATGTCTCTTTCCTTAATGTTTGGTCAATGAAGGTTAATTCGTTGGACGTCCCAGGTATCCAGTCGCACGAGGACGGCAGTTCTTACTCTCCTGGAAGGTAAGTGACCGTTTTTGTACTGGTAGCTTTTGTTTTACTGGGGTTTTAAATTTCACAGCTAAATGTGAAATTTATTATGGCGTGTTCACACTTCCTGTTGGAAAGCCCTTCATGTTGGCGTGTCAATGCCGACATACATTTCGGCAATACTACCTGACAAATGCACATTAAAGTCATCTGAAAGAAAAGTGCAAATCAGAAAAAAAAGCTGCATTTTCTGTGGAAAATAAAGTTTGAAACTATCATTAAAGCTAAAAGTAGCTAAGGCTGTAGCATAAGAGAAAAATGCGAGTAGCAGATTTAAAGAGAGCTATGTGTTCTATGGAGAGAGGATTTTTAAAGAAGTTATATTTTAAAAAGTAAAAAGTTACGTAAACCAGAAGTACTAGCCCAATCTCCTGAATGAACTGAACTTGATATACGAATGTCTGAACTAGCGCAAACGATGCAGAAAGTTTACATGTAAATTGACAGGAACACAGCAGATTGAGTGCTGATGAGGTGTTCACACAATAAAATCTGAAGCAATAAATTATTATTTTTAAATGTTTAATCGACATGAGATACTTCTGAATAAATAACAGTGGTACCCAAACTTGGTCCTTGAGGAACACCATCCTGCAGGTTTAGTTTCTCTGCTCAGACACCCACTTTTAATTTGCGGGTTATTAACAGGCTTCTGCAGACCTTCATGAAGTAATTAAATCACTGAATCAGGTGTGTTGGAGCAGAGAAACGACTAAAACATGCAGGATGGTGTTCCTCAAGGACCAGTGTTGGGAACCCCTGAACTCACTCCAATTCAAGATGGCCGCTGTAGCTAATCAGCATAGCTAAACACAAAAATCCCTCTTACAGATTTTGAGCTGAAGTTTTATGCAGCAGCTGAAAGCCATGCTCAACACACAGAGTCCCAAGTGCTGACACGTGTCTAAAATGTTGTTCTTGAAGACGTGTCCATCCCAACAATATAAACAATTATCTGCTCGGTGTACGTTCTGTGTCTGCAGGTTGATGGTGGGGTGTGGTTCCTCGCCAGATTCTCCAGGTGGAGTGAGGTTCCAGATGGATGAACCTCCTTCACCCTCTGCTCAACAAACGCCTCCTGCTGTGCTTCTGAGAATAGCAACAGGTTTGTTTGATTTCCCTCGTTCTTTTTAAATGTCAAGTTGTGGTTTGGGAGTTTCTGATGTTTAGATCAGATTTTCAGGAGCAAGCTGATATTTGACTGTCTACACCTCTTATGGTGGTTACTTTTTCTTCCATCTGTTGTAGACGAGTCCTTCGGCAGCTACTACCCTGAAGCTCACCTTCCTGTCAGCCTCCTGCAGAATAAACCAGTCCATGTGGAGCTGAGGCTGCTGGAGCCGTCTGAGCCCACCATGGTGCTGATGGTTCACTCCTGCCTGGCTTACACGGCCACACCAGAAGTCAGCTGGATGCTTTTTTATGACGGGTGCGTTTATCCAGACAAAATTAAATGAGATGGAAATTCACCTTGTGGCGTTTGCAAAAGAAAAACTGCATGTTGTTTAAACTGTCATCACCTTTGTAGTTTCTGACTACAATGTCAGATTATTCTGTTTGATTTAAAAGAAATCTGACATTTTGTTTTTCCTTAATTATTACTGTAACGGTACAAACTTGTTTTGTGACATTAAGTTGAAAATGCAGATGCAGGAACTGTAGAGACATCTGTATAACCTTTCGGACCCCGAGCTTGTCGGTTCAATGTAAACGTTCTGTTTGACGGTCAGTCCTTGTTTGTGTTCAGTTGTAGCAGCCGGAGCGTTTCCAAGCTGCTTCCTTCCTCAGACTCTCAACACATCCGCAGGATTAAAATTAACCGCTTCCCCTCCCTCCCCTCGGAAAGTTTAACCTACAGAACTCCTGGGGGACACTTGACCCTGAATGATCCAGAGGTGGGTGCAACACACACGTTTAATCCTCTTCCAAAGAGCTGCAGGGCTGATCAGGTTTAATATTGATTAGGACAGCTGGAATCAAGTTGTACAAACATTTTATTCTTGTTTTTATTCCCAACACAGATCTACTTTTTATGCCTGACTGAAATCTGCTCAGCTGCTCACAATGACTGCAGAGTAAAGTGTGATTGAAGGTAAGATCTATAGAGGACAGAAATGTGAAAGTTTATCCACCTTATTCTTAGCCCCCATGCTGCCTTGCATGAATGTGAGCACGACTTCTGGCTCGGACAGAAACGGGCGTTTAAGTGTGAACGGTACGAGCTAATGTAGTTTCTCCGAGCATGGTGGATTTAATTTAAACATGCAGGAACACCACCTGTCAGAGCTCCAACAGGACAATATAATCGTACCGCTGCCTGCTGCAGAACAAGTGACCACAGATTAGATATTCTAGCATATTTAGCTACTTCATTGACTCGGTTCTTTTGACTGTGAAGCACTGACCAACCTGAAAAGCTCTGAAGTGTAAGTATCTACACAGTAATAAGGTTGGTGGTGTTTTGTTAAGAGGTGGGACACAATCTTATTTATCTTAAAGCAGACATTGAGCCCAGACAGACAGTCACCATCGAGCTTGGGTTAACTGCAGAGAAAATCGTAATACTGGAGACTAACAATTGACCTCCATACTCTTGAAATCAGACCCGATATTCTCGTCACCATTTTCAATCCTGAGGATCCGGTGTCTCTTCTCCAGTGGTTTATTGTAGTCCAGACACAAAGTAGGATGCAGGTTTTCCTCCGTCGGCTGTTTATCAACAAAGTGAAACGAGTGCTGCAGAGTTTTGGGTGGTCTCAAGTTCAGATATTTCATGCACAGTCCTCTTACCGTAATTTTCGCCGTATACATCGCACTGCCCCATTAGTCGTATCAGTCCATATTTGTCTAAAGTGGAAAAATCCATAAATGTTGCTTCGTCATATACGTTGCATCTATTACATGTCACCGCTGACAACCCAGAAATGTGGGCCGGTGTTGTCAAAAACCGATGGGCTGCCAAATGGCACAGGAGGACTTTAACAAGAAATTAACAAGATTAACACCTAAAAACAATTATTTGTTTGCTGGAAATTATAGCAATGGTGTGTCTGTCTAACATTTGCTTAATAAATGCACTTTGCATTTCAAAAACTGTTTTGCTGCCTCGGTGCTGCGAAGCGGGCACGTGCAGCTGGATCAGCTGCTGCAATTCTTTCAAATTTAACAAGATAACCACCTAAATAATTATTTGTTTGCTTGGAATTATAGCAAAGGTGTGTCTCAGTCTAACATTTGCTTAGTAAATGCACTTTAATGGTCAAATAAGCTGCATTTCGCTGGGGCGGTGCAGGTGATTTTACGGTTCCAAGCAACGAGCAGAATGAAGGTGGGGAGACTGTGGCAGGCCAATAGTCCATTAAAAGCTGGTGAAGCTTCTCGGTCATCCAGGACATGATAAATTCAAAAAAGTTAGACAAGTATAAAGTGTAATAAAGTCCAGTTGAACTTTTTTGAATTTGTCATTATAGCCATGTTTACCTATAGTATGCCTCACTATTACTACTCTTCCATAAAGAGGTATTGCTCAAATTTTTTTCAGTCGGAAAGAATGGAAACTGTCAACTCAGCCAAAAAATGGTTTATAAATATAGGGAAAAAAATCCATAAATCTTCGGCCTAGAAGTCACAGGACATGTAAATTATGCAAAAAAAAAAAAAAAAAACTTGTAGGCCAAAAAATACGGTAATTCATCTGTTCACAGGAACACTCTGTTTTGGGTCTGTGCTCAAACAAGCAGTGTTGTTGTAGCCACTGATTTAGTTTGGTCTGGTTGTTGTGCAGCTGTGAACACAACAGGTACCTGAACTCAACTATTTTAGTAAATTTTACGGTTAAATAAATGTAAACAAAACCGGTGTTCTATCTGCTAAACTGAATGCAAATTACTTTTAAATAAACTGTGGTCCGTGCTCCACTCCGTTTGCCAATGTTCACAGCTACTTCATGTGTCAGACAGGAAGTTGTACCCATAATTTATACAGTAGAGCCCCCAGGAACAAGGTGGATACTTTGTGAGCATGTCTGACCTTCATCTACCCGACTGATTTATACATGAGGCCCATTTAAAGAATAGAACTGTTGCAGAAAGCTTTTTGAACAGCCTGGTTATTTCCACCAGGACTGACGAGCTAACAGCTAGCGTGAACACGGCAAAGAGTAAGTGGACCACTGAAATTTACCCAATCATGCAAACTTTAATTTTATAGACACTTAAAGAAAAATGTTTTCTTTCAGGAATAATTAGGATTTGATACAATTTGAATTGTTATAATACAGGAGGTTCCGATCAGACGAGCCCTTTAACCTCTGGTTTCAGTGGAACCTCCACCACGACTCGTCTTGACTGAAACGAAAACCACTTCATGTTTTGTGACAAACTTCTTTTTACTTTTCTCACAGGTGCCAACGGTGATGAAATAAAGATACTTGTACACAACCAAGACGAGTTTAATTGTTTTTATGGAAACGTGCACAAGTGTAACTTTCAGTGGAACATTTGTTTCTAAAGCAAAGCAACAGTCAGGAATACATCGTACAAAACAAGGCATTAAACGCAGTTTAAGGCATTCAGTTTGAACTTGTCTGTTACAGCAACAAACTGAAATATTCAAGACTGGATTCAAAGGTAACACACACACTTACATTTTTCAAAGACTATATTCTCACAGTAGACGGACTTATTCAATACATTCATTAAAAATCCCTTATTTCAAACTTTTTGACCAATCCTGTGGCACTCGGGGCACAATTCAAACCAGTTTTTACTAAAAGCTAGCTGGTGTGATGGGACACCTTTTTTTGTTCCACATTGTCTAAAATATTTCACTTGCATACAAAAAAACTTTGAGGAGACTATTTCAGTAACTTGATCCCTTTTTTATATAATTTGACAGTATTTTGTTAATGACTGTAAACAATGTGTGTGTGCGCGCACGCTATGGTATAAAAATAAAGTGTCAACTCTAAACATTAAAAGCTGGAATCGGGCAACAAAGTGTAATTAAAATGTAAAACGTGTATGCGTTGTACTAAAATGTCACTCCTGGCTGTTTGCATCAAGATAAATGTGGCTCAGATTATTTTGGGCCCATCGGGCTGGTGTCTCAAACAGTTTATGGTATTTGTCTCATTTGACTAGGATTTTAAATTTTATTTTAGTGATTGAAGTGTTTTGGTACAAATTGTCTTGTTAAAATTATAATCAGCAGTTTACAAACGCATGTAAACCACTGATCTGTTTAGAGTGTCCAGCGATGGGTCTTTCAATGCAGGGGGGGTGGGGGGGGTGGTAAGGCTGGAAAAGCCCTCTGCCTTTTTAGTACACAGCTGAGTAGTAAGAATTGACCGCCTGCTGGACCTTCTTGAGCTTGTTCAGGAGGATAACGGCGCAGACCAGGGCAGTAATCTGTCGTGCAAACACAGGAGGAGGAGGGAAAATAAAGAACAAAGATGGAACGAAGATTTAAAGAACCTGCTTCCTCGTCATCACCACAACCAGCCACAGGATGAGGTTTGTGTCCAAGAAGCTACAACTTCCAGCCCATGCTGTTAATCTGCATGCAAGCCATGAATGTGTTCAATGAATAATGGTAGGGATGCACCAATACATTTGACCCTCTTCTGTAGCAGGTAGTCTGCACTTCCTGACCTGCTCTTTTTGTTGGTTTGTAGGCTCAAGGCAAAAGTTTAAAATGTCATGCTGTCAGACAGAACAGACCTCAGCTGCCTTTCTTTGTGCCAGAGACCTGGTTAGCTGCCGGCTGGAGGGTCTGTCATGTTGCTGCTGTTAAACATTTTGAACCGTTTTAATAAACTGCTCGTTAAATTCTAGCACAACTAGAAATTGTCCCTCTTGGCAGCTTGGCAGGGCATAATCTAATCTACAGTCAGCTTAACTTTCAAATTTCTCCACATGGCTGGCATCATTCCTCTTGCCTGCCTGTTCAACTGAGAAGTGATCCCACTGATGAAAATATCAAATCTTATGAGTAAGAGTACACACATGACTGATACCCAGTACTAGTATTGGTGCATCCCTTGTAAGTACACTTAAAGGACAAAATCCAACCCTGTTACAGTATTAGTAAAAGAAAACAGTATTGTGGACCAGCAGCTAACTTCTATGTAGAGAAATTCAGTTTTCTGTGAATGTGGTGTGCTGAGTAAACTCCAACAAAAAGCCCCAGATAGCACAGGGTTGGCCAAAGTCTTAACTATATGGTGCATAAGAAAAATGGCAAGTTTTCTGAGGCGGAGTTCAGACAGCTCAAGGTTTTTGGAAGCAATTGAGAAAATGGAGAATTACTGTGGGGAAGTGTGTAAAGTGAGATATTTTGATAGGTACAAAAGTCTAAACATGAGCAAAAGCTATAGTAACCATCGAGTATTTTGAAACTTTAATGGGTACAATGGCACAAAGTTTGAAAAAAATCTATGGGACGAACTGGTGAGTGCTGACTCAGCATTCACACGATGACGAAGGAAGATGGTCATCTATGATTGAAAATGAACCTAAGAAGCTCTTAGATTTTATGAGCCTGCCCAGTTTGCCAGCTGTTTCTGTAATGGAGAAAAAATGCTCATGTTTTCTGCAAAATGAACTAAACACCCAAAAGTCCCAATAGCTGCTTTGAGTGAGGATTCTATATTCATAAACATGCTGAGAGAAGCTAATGATTAGCTACGTTGGAGTATTATGAAATGAAATGATAAAAGGATGCACAAAAACTGACGGGAGCGTTCTTATGCTCGAGCCGCTGGGATGTTGACCATGGAAAGGGGTGTGAAGACCACGGGGTCGTCATCGGGGTGGGAGCAGGAGATTTGCTGAAATGGCTGCAGGGGAGCCGGGCCAGGTGTGTTCTGAGTCAGGATAATGTACTGAGCAGGTGAGGCGGCCTGACGAATGTTTGCACTGAGCACCACGCTGCAGATCAGAACTACGATCTTGGGGAAGCAATGATTGGGAAAACAAGAGAATGATTGAAATCAAAAGCGGGGGGGTGATTAAAACAGACTGAACGCTAAGACTTCTCATTGTTTCTCCTGGTCAGGTCAGATTATATTTGTTTTTCTTTTGTTAAAGCTTCTGCATTAAACAATTTGACTGAAGATGAATAGTTTTTTATTGCACAAATTATTTCCAGTGTAAATAAATGACTTGATTCACTTCTTTAAAAAAAAAAAAAAAAAAAACTTGATTAGTTGTAAATGAACTGGCTTACCAGAAGAGCTCCTGTTCCAACGAAGACGCCCATCACCAGAGACGCCTTACTGTCGAAGATATTTGCAATGGTCGTGGGACAGTTCTGTAGGTAGAAGCAGCCATGAGCACTTACCAGAACACGTTTAATCTGAACTCTCTTAGGGTTGTAAAGAGCTGGAAACTTTCCATAGGAAATCTGGACCAGTTTCTTTAAGGGAGAAATGTTTCATCTTCCATCTGGAAGACTTCACGATTGAGCCTACAAACCTTTTTCCACAGGAAGTTTGGTTGAGAAATGATCGAAATGTTTTAATTGGAGAAAGGATCACATCATGGCCTCAGCTGGTTTCTGCTCAAACCACAGCTCAGGCCTCTGCCACCACAAATACTCAAGAGGACCGCTCTGTGAAAGAACACAGACCAGTCCATCTTGAAGCTTCCTCCTGCCGTTCATAAATCACTGAAGCCGCCACGTCCTGCTCAGATGTTGAGCTCTGAGCGCAACCACAAGAGACGTGGAGCAGAACTCTGCTGGGCTGAAGCAAAGCGTGATGCATTCAATGTGTCGGACACCTCCCCTGTATCAGTGACTAAAGTGAATTAACTCACTTTACAGATCCTGTTTGTGGTCATTGTTTAAAACTTTACAAAGTTGTTTTGTCGTCAATATAATAAATTTGTTTCATCTCATAAGTGGGTGGTTGCAACTAATGTCATCAGTTCATCACACTACTGAGCTGCAGCTCCGTCTTCTGAATGGGCCGAGGCGACCAGAACACGTCTCAGTCCCATATTGAGGTGCCTCTGAATGAGGCTACTGTCTGTGAGCTGCTCACGTCTACAGCCACTTCCAGTCGTCTGTGTCTGCCGGACCCTGCTCTGATGCTGCCACGGCTCCCTCCCAGGTCTATTTTACTCCACACTACGTTCCTGTTTCCAAGGAGATTCAGGAGAGCCTGACTCCACCACCAAGGTACATTCCTGTCGTTGAAAAGGCTAAACTGTGTCGGTCAGCTCCCGTTTCTGTTGAGTCCACCTGACCTCTTCCCCAGCTCCTGATGGATGGCCTCAAAGATAAAACCTCAGAACTACCTCATCCAGCTGACCCCTTTGTTCTGGCCACTATCCACGCTTTCAAGTCCCCCGCCACCCACTCGGTTAAAAACACTTTTTATTTCCTTGAGACATCTGAAATCGTCTCAGGTTTTATTAGCATTACACAGTGACTGGGTTTTAAAATCAGTATTTCATGTCCTGAACTTACAGGCATGACGATGCGCTCCAGAAAGCCGTCTGGTTTAGGACAGGTCTGCTGTACTATCTCAACAAGTGAGACTCCCGTCATTCCACAGCAGTGGAGCTGCAGATCAGAAGACAGAAGGGGGGGAGGGGGGTGAATAAGAATACACACACGAACCATTTGTTGACACAGGAACGTTTGTCACGTGTAAGATTGCATCAGTAAATTAAAATGTGATGTATGAAAATAAGTCCAAATTTTAAAATATTGAATATTTTATCAAAAAAAAAACAAAAAAACTCAAGTACTAAATATCTTTAGCTGTTTTTTAATTGTCGGTATTTCTTTTCTCCATTTGGAAAGGAAGGAAATGCAGTGGTTGGAGCTTACAGAGTTGTGGATGAATGCGAGAGTGACTGCAATGGCTGGGTCTCCAGTATGTACATACAGAGTGTACAAGCTGGTGTAGAACTCTCCCAGTTTAAGTCCAACCTTACCAGTGAAAAAAAAAAAACATTTAATCACAGTTCAAACTAGTACATTTGTTTACATAGTGCAAACTGTAAATTTACCATGTCACGTTTGCTGTAAGCAAGCACTCCAACAGCAACTTCAGCAACAGCAAGAAGGAACAGAAGGACTGAAAACTGAAGGGACAGAAAGAGATCAATTATTGCTATAAACTGAACCAAACCAAACAACGTGATATTTACAGGGAGCTGAATTTGATTTTGACTTGTTTTAGTCCTGGCAGTATTGCTCAGATTGTCTAATTGTCATTGCAGTACAGTGATCCCTCACCGATCGCTGGGGTTGTTTCAGAAAGCTCCGCAGTTGGTGAAAATCTGCAATGTAGCGGTGTAATATTTATTTTATTATTTATATATACCCTATTTTTTCGGCCTATAGGTTGCAGTTTTTTGCATAATTCACATGCCCTGCGACTTATAGGCTGAAGCGACATATTTATGGATTTTTTCCTATATTTATAAACCAATTTTTGGCTGAGATACGACCGTTTTCACTCATTCTGACTGAAAAAAAAAATTGAGCAGTACCACTTTCAGCCACTTGATGGCAGCACAGTAGTAATACGTATATGGCATGCCGTTGTATCATGTAATAGGTAAACGTGGCTATAATGACAAATTCAAAAATGTTCAAGACAAAAACAACTGGATTTTATTTATTATACTTAGTTTTTTTTCTTAAACTTTTTTGAATTTACCATGTCCTTGATGACTGAGAATCTTCACCAGCTATTAATGACTCAATCGGCCTGCCATAATCTCACCACCTTCATTCTGCTTGGTGCTTGGAACCGTCAAAACAGCTGCACCACCCTGGCAAAATGCAGCTAATTTGACCATTAAAGTGCATTTATTAAGCAAACGTTAGACTGAGAAACACCTTTGCTATAATTTTGAGCAAACAAATAATTGTTTAGGTGTTTATCTTGTTAATTTTTGTACAGGGACTCGTTGCGTGCACGCGTTTACTTCCACGTATCGGGTTTTGAAATGCAGCTGATTTGACCATTAAAGTGCATTTATTAAGCAAGCGTTAGACTGATACACACATTTACTATAATTTCCAGCATACAAATAATTGTTTTTAAATGTTAATCTTGTTAAATTCTTGTTAAAGTTCTCCCGTGCACGCTTCCGCATCCGCCATTTGGCAGCCAATTGATTTTTGAAACAACACCGGCCCAAATTCCGGGTCGTCAGCCGTGACGCATAATAGATGCAACGTATACAGCGAAGCAACATATTTATGGATTTTTCCACTTTATTAGACAAATATGGACTGTGAAAATCACTGTAATGCCACTTGGTTGTTATGTGCTACTGACTATCCATGATGCTGATCTCATGCTGCTGATTACTTCATGTTGCTGTGTTCATTAATCCTCATCTGCTCATACAGACTTAAGTTCATGCTGCTGTTTTGGCGCGTTGTTTTGTACCATTAGTGCCTAGTATATTCTTAGATCATGTCTTGGATCTTACTGTTTTCCTTTACAATTTGTATTTTTGTTGGATGTAACTGGGACCCTGCCTACATACTGTAGTTTCGTTCCACCTCATGTACCACATGTGATGTGAATGATAATAAAAATCTTTGTATCCTTGTTCTGTTTGAGCTTTACTGGCTGTCTCCGTGTTTTTTAATGAGAAGACAACTTCATACCTTGCTGCTCTAAACCAGTTAATTTCCTGAAGAACACCAAACCTCTCCTTTGTAGCCGCTACCCAGTAGAATGTGTGATATAAATGGTACACGGTAGAAACAATAGAAATTTAGCCTACGATAGAGATCTGTCCTCTACCGGCTAACTGCAGTAATGCTGTGCCTGAAGTAAAATCAGAGTTGTCATTTTAATCGTTACTTTTGTTTGTTGAAAACTGTGCATAAGTGGTGTTCAAGTGTAAAATCAGAGCTGTCAGATTTAATCGTTACCTTTTTTTTTAGAGAGTCAGAGAGTCAGAGTCAGAGTTTCTTTATTGTCATTCGCACCTCATGTGGTACATGTGGTGGAGCGAAATTATGTACGCAGGGTCCCAGTTACATCCAACAATAAAATGTATAAGAAAAACAGTAATAACATCTAAGATATGAAATAAGAAAAACATCAACTAAATATACACTAAGCACTCATAACATAAAACATTGAACATCAGCACAAACATGAACATGAGTCTGTGAGCAGATGTGCACGCATGAACACATCAACATTGAAACAGATCAGCAGCAACATGAAACAGATCAGCAGCAACATGATATGGTTTTTCACAGTGATTATTCTAGTTAGAGATTCATGAGTCTAACAGCCTCAGGGTAGAAGCTGTTCCTCAGTCTAGTGGTTCTACACTTAATGCTCCTTAACCTCCTTCCTGAGGGGAGTGGGGCAAAAAGTGTGTGTGCTGGGTGGGTGGGGTCCTTCATGATGCAGGTGGCCCTCTTCCTGCATCTGGAGGTGTAGATGTCTGTGATGGTGGGGAGGCTGATTCCGACAGATTTCTGTGCAGCCTTCACCACTCTCTGCAAAGCTTTTCTTTCTGCAGCTGTGCAGCCTCCATGCCACACATTGATGCTCGAGCACAGGATGCTCTCCACTGCACACCTGTAGAAGGAGGTGAGGACTGAGCTTCCCAGACCAGCTCGCCTCAGCCGTCTGAGGAAGTAGAGTCTCTGATGAGCTTTCTTGATCAGGCTGGTGGTGTTGTTGCTCCAGCTGAGGTTGTCATTCATGTGTACACCCAAGTACTTGTAGCTGGAGACCACTTCCACCGCAGATCCTCTTATGTTCAGGGGGGTGTAGGTGTTTTTGTTCCTTCTGAAGTCCACAATCATCTCCTTTGTCTTCTTCACATTGATGTGAAGGTTATTCTCTCTGCACCAGCTCTCCAGGTGTTCCACCTCCTGCCTGTAGCTGGACTCATCATTGTTTGTGATGCATCCCACCACCGCTGTATCATCTGCAAACTTTACAATGTGACAGCCTGGATGGGTAGCTGCACAATCATATGTGAGCAGAGTAAACAGGAGGGGGCTCAACACACATCCCTGAGGAGAGCCAGTGCTGAGGGTTATGGTGGAGGAGGAGAGGTTGTGGATCCTCACTAACTGTGGTCTGTTTGTTAAAAAGTCTAGTACCCAGTTGCAGATGGAGGGGCTTAGTCCTAGTGTGGATAGTTTGTCCATCAGGGTTTGGGGGATCATGGTGTTGAAGGCGGATGTGAAGTCCACAAAGAGCATACGGACGTAAGAGTTTTTCTGCTCCAGGTGGTTGAGTGCAGTGTGGACCACAGAGGAGATTGCATCCTCTGTTGATCGGTTCTCACGGTATGCGTACTGATGAGGGTCCTCGTTGATGTTGATGGTTGTTTTGATGTGAGTCATGACCAGTTTTTCAAAGCATTTAGCGACTATCGGGGTGAGGGCCACTGGCCGATAGTCATTCAGACCAGTCACTGTAGAGCTTTTTGGGACTGGGATGATGGTGGCAGTCTTCAGGCAGGTGGGAACTGTCTCCAGGGTAAGTGAGGTGTTAAAGATGTCTGCCAGCACCTCACAGAGCTGATCAGCACATTCCTTCAACACTTTTCCGGGGATGTTGTCTGGGCCAGTTGCTTTGTGCGGATTAATCCTCCTGAAGGTACTCCTTACTTCTGCTGAGGTCACGCTGAGATGCTCTTCATCCGGTGATGAGGTGAGTCTGGTGCTGGGTGGTCTGTTCGGGTCTTCAAAGCGTGCATAGAACTTGTTGAGGGCATCAGGCAGAGATGGGTCTTTGGGACATTGTTCACTCCTTCCTTTATAATCCGTTATGCACTTAATGCCCCTCCACATGCTCCGAGGGTCTTGTGAGATGAATTGACCCTCGATCCTCTTTGCATATGTGGCCTTGGCCCTCTTAATACCAGCAACCAGCTCTTTTCTTGTCCTACTCAGCTCCTCTGAGTTTCCAGACCTGAAGGCAGTGTTCCTGGCTTCCAGCAGGGTACGCACCTCTGCATTCAGCCAAGGTTTTCTGTTTGGGTAGCTTTTAACATTTCTGATAGTGGAGACTGTGTCAGTACATGTACTAATGTAACCCAGTACTGAGGATGTGTATTGGTCAAGATCAAGCGAACCTCCATTTTCAGCAGCTTCTCTGAAAACCTGCCAGTCTGTTCGATCAAAACAATCTCTCAGTATGGGGCCACTGTCCTGGATCCAGCATTTAACTTTCTTTTGTACCGGTCTGGAGCGTCTCAGCGGGGGCATGTAAGCAGGAGCCAGGAAGATTGAGATGTGGTCTGACAGTCCTAGGTGGGGGCGGGGTTCGGCTTTGTATGCATCTTTTACGTTCGTGTAAACACGGTCCAGCGTGCGGTCTCCACGTGTCGGAATCGTCACATGCTGATTAAAGCTTGGGAGACAGTCCTTTAGATTCACGTGGTTAAAGTCTCCGGCTACCACGTAAAGAGCCTCGGGGTGTTTGTTCTGCAGCGAGCTGATGATATCATGAAGCTCCTGTAGTGATTCATTAGCATTAGCGTCCGGAGGAATGTAAACAACTGTGATAAAAGTCACTGTGAACTCTCGGGGTAGATAATGTGGCCGACATTTCACTGTTATTTGCTCCAAAGCCTTCGAGCATGAGCTATTTACAACAGTACAGTTCGTGGACCAACTTTTACTCACGTAAATGCACACTCCGCCCCCCCGTGATTTCCCCGTTAGCTCGCTGCAGCGGTCCGCTCGAAAAAAAAG